TAACAGAACCATGCAACTGTTGAGATGTTGCAAGTCGCTGAAAGGGAGTGACAGATGGCAGACTTTGAGTAATCGGATTTCAAGATCAGAATCCACAGTGAACAGAACTCTAGTTACTTGTAGCATATGGAAAAGCAGTTTCCTTCAAGTGAGCTTAAAGAACTGTGTTCTTTGATTTTTATTTTTAATTTGGAGTATTCATTAAGCAAATATTGATTAAGGGCACACCAGGAGCCAGGTACACCAGCTGTTGGGAACTGATAAAGGATCCCTGCCCTTACCCTTGTTTCCCTTTAAACATGTACTTAAAGTAAGAATGCATCTGAAGGTGGTGACCATCTAACAATTTAGTTGTAGCAAATTAGGTATAATTCGATGCCTGCAAAGACTCTGTTGTTGTCAGAGACAGAAGTGTCGAAGTGAAAGTCAGAAGTAAGTATGGCTTTATTGCAGAGGTCGGAAAGGATATTGTCAACAGTTGTTAAACACTGGTGCGCTGAGCTGGACCTCTTTTGGTATACCTGTACACTTTCAAGATGAATGGAACCCACTGAGGCCTCACTGGCTGCAGTTTACAAATGCTGACAATGCTTTCCCTTTGGGGAAGGATTAATCAGACTTAAGTGTGCCTGGCACATAGTAGGTGTTCAGGAAAAGTGTGTTTTAAAAATTGCACATGAGCTGCTGTATTGAAATGCATGTTGCTTGGTAAGCCTGATGAAACAGACAGACTCCTTCCTTTTTAAGACTCCTGTTTGCAGTGTTAGGCTCCCCGGGGCGCTCTTTCCATGTGAGGAGCTGGAGTCCACTGGAGCACTGTCTTTTGTTTTGAACTTGAGCTTATGGAAATGTCTGGCTTCACTGACCCTTTTGACTCTCTTATTGATTTCCATTTTGCAAAGGAGGCACTATTGCTTTATCTTGTTTATTTATTTTTCTGTGATCCTCGAATGCCTCCAAGCTCCATTTCCTGCCTTTAATTATGTACAGGGCCATTACACAAAAGTGTGGTTTGCAAGGTGGAGGTAGAATTGTGACTGTAACAGCATAAGCCGCTGTCAGGCAGCAGGCTGCCTTTCTGATTAAGTTTGGCTGGTAGACTGGTTTGTGCACCACGACTGAGTCTTGTTGAACAAGTTTAACAGCTTTTTTGCAACTGTCTCTGAGCGCGAAGGGAGAATTTTTTGTATTTCACGTTCAGGCTTGTTTTTTACTTCTAATCCTCAATATCCCTAATGTGGGAACTGAATAGTCTAAATCTGTGACTAGTTAGAAAAGTGGCAAGGTGTGAGATAAGTTAATTTTCTTCTTTGTGCTTTTATATATTTCCCCAGATCTCTATAACAAACTGTATTCATTTGGTGATTAAGAAGAAAAAGATTGCTTTAGGGGGACAAATTGAGACTAGACCTTATTTTTTTAGGGAAGATTTTTGAAAAAGATATTTTTAACTGGTTCTCTTAATGTGATTTTGGGAGTACAGGTAATGCCTGTTGGGCTTGTTAAAAATGGGACGTCAGAGTGGTCATTATTCCCCCTCAAAGGAGAAGTCCACAGTTTCAGTCCAGGTACCAGGCTGTTAAAGTACTTGACCCAAGGCAGATAGTTTCTCAACAAAATTGAGAGATCAGAAATGTTTTGCCAAAGGATTTTGGTTCCTTTGAAGGAGCAGAAGCTGACAAAGGAGTACAGGGTCTGCTGTTCTATGTGATGGCACAGGGTCAGTAAAAGGTAATTTTGTGACATGTTTTTCTAGGCTTCATGGATTAAGGATGGTTCTAGTCTTCATGGATTAGGGGTTACTGGAATTTAAAGGAGGAAGGTTTGGGATTAAAATGGGTGACAGTGTCTTAAAAAAGAAGGAAATCCTGCTTGTGACAATGTGGATGAACATTGAGGACATTATGCTAAGTGAAATAAGCCAGTCACAGGACAAAAAGTACATGATACCACTTACATGATGAATCTAAAATAGTCAAACTCAGAGAAGCAGAGAATGGAATGGTGGTTGCCAGGGGCTGGGGGAGAGGGGAAAATGAGGAGGTGTTAGTCAACGGGCACAAAGTTTTGGTTATACAAGATGCCTACATCCTAGAGATCTACTGTGCAGTATATAGTGCCTATAGTTAACAATATTGTAATGTATACTTAAACATTTGCTAAAAGGATAGATCTTATGTTAAATGTTCTTTTCACAACAGTATGTATATATATATATGTTAGTAATAATAATATATAAGAGGATATGAGGAAACTTTTGGAGGCAATGGACATGTTATGGCATAGATTGTGGTGATGGTTTCATGGATGTATACTTCAGACTCATCAAGTTGTATACAATAATTCTGTACAGCTTTTTTATGTCAAAAAAAAAAAAAAGAGTGACAGCTATCTGGAAAGAGCCAAATGAATGGGAAGGGTGGATTAGCACAGGGTGGAACCATCAGGATAGTGAGCAGGCAGTGTTGGAGTGGTTGGTCCCATTTCGTAGCCTTTGAGACAGGCTGAGGAGGCATGTCAGTGTCCGGGGAAGAGCTGTGGGCAACTCCAGATTGTGCTGGGCTTCGTAGGGGAGGCGGAGCTGGTATCCATCCCTGTCCACCCCAGATGCCCCTGGCAGCAGGCGCGTCATTTGAAGTCTGTATCAGATCTTAAACCCAAGCCCTTTGTTGAGTCTTGGTTTTCTTTCTCCCACTGTGTTGCTTGCTTTCCATTTTATAGCCTTGAATCATCCCTGCTATACAGGAATATAAATCTAATTGCTCTGTGTGATTATCATGCCAGAAGACGAGGTAAACGGACTGCCAAGTGGATGGAAATGCCAGGGAATTTTCAGAACAGCCTTCATTATATTCACAGCAGCATGTGTCTCTAGGGCAGGGCAGTCACCGTGTTTGGAACTGGTAGCCATGATGGTGTTTCAGTGCAAGATTCTTGCTGTCATGCATTTTGAGCATATGTCACCCTGCTTGGAGGTTCGCTATGACAGGATCCACACACTTTGAGTCAAAGCAGATGGCTTGGTCCCCATCCAAGGGTTACTTATGGAGTGACTAGGAGAACATGTCAGGGTTCAGCAGTGTGGACCCAGAGCACGTTCATGTTCAGATACATTTATGATTCGTCACTTGGGGAATGGAGTTAGGAAAAGTTATTTTTGTATTTACTTTAGGAGCCCAACTGTGGAAATTTCTGACCATTAGAATTTTCAGTTTTTTAAAAAAAAATTGTAAAATACACATAAAATTGACTATCTTAACTGTTTTTGAGTGTATAGTTAGTTCAGTGGGATTAAGTACATTCACATTGTTGTGCAGCCATCGCCGCTGTCCATCTTCAAGACCGTTTTCATCTTTGAAAACTGAAACTGTACCCAATAAAGAATGGTCATAGTTTTTGAGTGGAAACAAAAAAATTCTGTCTCCTTTTATTCTAGTGTGAACAGGACCATCAGTCTGGTAGTCTAACTCCTTTGGTTGATCAAAGCTAGCAGCCACACCCGCCATCCTCTTGGTTTTCTGAGAAGCAAAGGGTCATTGTGTGGCTGTCCTTGTTCCTACATATCTGGGACACCGCGTGCAGGTGAGGGCCTGGTGGCTGCCTGTCGTCTTCTCCTGAACCAGGGCCAGAATCCCTTCTTTGCGATGCCCTTGAAACTCTCCTCCCTGGACGTTTGCTCTATCACGAACCTGTGTTGTGGCTTTGCAGGCTCATCCGTCACGGTGATGGGTGTGTGGCTGCCTGTGTTATCCGTTTGGTTGCGGAGATGAGCTCAGCAGTTGGCCGGCGCCAGAGCTTCCCGCGTGATTTGGGTTCCCTGAGGGTTTGCCCACCAATCTGCTGCATTCTCTGAAAATAACATCGTCATGTCTTGGTTTAGTGGAGATTTGTGGGAATCAAAAGGGATTCACACTAAAAGGTATATTGAATTATATAAAGTGCTTTGTGAAAAAACTCGAAGTTTAGTAATTTGGATTATGAATTTTACTTTGAGTAGGAGGGCCGTCATGTTGAGACTGTAAATACCCCCCACATTTATCTTCTCATTGATAGTCAATAGAAAGGACTTCATGTGATCCTTTTCTGTTGTTACTTTTCACGAATAAAAGTGTTTTCCCTTTCTCTGGTTCTTTCTTTGCTTTTTCCCCTGAGCCTCCAATACAGTGACGACAGCCAAACCAGATAGCCCTAACGTGAAGACAGGGCTCTAGACCGAATGTGCTGTCACGTTGATGGCTTGTTACAACGAGGAGGAGCTCTTTACTGGAGGAATAGAATTGTTGGTCATGGAGCTGCTTGGGTATATTATTTCTAAGCCCAAAGCCATTAGGAAGACCTGCTTTCTTTAGTGCAGGGAGAGAAAAAGACTTTTTAAGTTTTCTGACTTTCATTAAAATGCTTTTCATGGGGGATGGGTGTTACTGTTTTTTTAAAATGCGTTTTATGATGCTTCAGTGCTGTTACTGGGAAGAGCAGAGCACTTTGTCACTGCTCCCTGTGGTAAGTACCAGACCCAACAGAGGCAGTAAAAACCAGGAGGCAGGGGAAGGCTTCTGCGAGTGTCCTTGTTTATTCCATGTCAGTAGCTGTCATTTCATCTTAAACTTGGTACTGTCCATGTGCCTGAAATCCAGCCGGAATGAAAAAAGTACAGCATTATCAATTAGAAGCAAATTACTTGTCGGCCCCTCTTTGGGCCCTAATTATAAACCGTGTCACTCGACATCTATGTGAGCCAGAGTTGTTCTTCTAATGGCCTAAAAATAGGAGTGTTGTGCTCACTGAGATGCCGGGAGGTTTTCCTGCAGCGCCAGACAACCATATGGAGCTGCTGCAGAAGGAGAAGCGAATGCTCCCTGCAAGCGGCCCTGCGCTCCAGGGCGTTTGTTCCTGGAGATTTAGGGACGACTTTGCCGGTTTGGGCTTGTGAGAGAAAAGTCAGTCTCAAGGTAGATAGAGGTGGAGGTTTGTGGGTGATGGAGCATTTCTGAAAATGGCTGTTCCCCTGACTTTCTGCCGTCCTGGAGCGGGGGAAGAGGCTGCCGGCTGTGCAGTGGGAGCTGGGGGTGTTGGATGTCAGCCTCACTGCTCAGAGCCTCAGCCGCTTCGCCCTTCTCTCTACAGGTGGTGGTGAGGTGTAATGAGAAAACAGGCACAGTGTGTACCACTTCAGTATTTATTTTTTAATGAGCCTGGCTAATAAATGTTACCTAGAAGACATCCATATGAGTTATCTTTAGCTTTCTTATGAAAGGACAGAATAAGTAGGGCTGTTACCCTGTTGTTAGGAGCCATGCGTTAATACTTTGCCATGTATTTGCTTTACTTATTTGCATATATTTTGTCTTTGACACATTTAACATTTGCAGACATCTTACCCTATTTTCTAGTAGCTGTAAAGGATTTCTTTGCCATGCTAATCTTTTTCCTTTGCCCATTCAACAGAAATTTAAGAATTATTTTTTCTTCCTGAATTTTTTTTTTCTCATTTTGGTTTTCCTGCTGAGATCTCTCGCTGCCCTGCCTTCCCATCTTGCATCTTCTCTGTGGTCTTGGCCCGTTGTCTTCCTCTGGTTCTTTTGTCTTTGTGCTTTGGTTGGCTCCACCTTGAGTGTTTTGGCTTACTTCTGATTAAGTGCCCCTGCTCCCTCCTTGGGTTCCTGCAGGGGCAGTTTGCATTTGCACAGACGTGGACTCCCCCCATTCCCTGTGTCTGCAGGTGGACACTGACTGGCCTGACTCTCCTTGTCACTTTTTTTTTTAAAGTAAACTTTATTTTTTAGAACAGTTTGATTTATTTGATTTATTGATTGATTGATTGATTTTTATTGAGAAAGATTAGCCCTGAGCTAACATCTGTCACCACTCCTCCTCTTTTGGCTGAGGAAGGCTGGCCCTGAGCTAACATCCATGCCCATCTTCCTCTACTTTATATGTGGGATGCCTACCACAGCATGGCTTGCCAAGCGGTGCCATGTCTGCACCCAGCATCCGAACTGGCGAACTCTGGGCCACCGAAGCGGAACGTGCACACTTAACTGATGTGCCACCGGGCCAGCCCCTCTTCTATGAGTTTTATAGTTTTGCATTTTACGTTTAGGTCTGTGATCCATTTTGAGTCAATTTTTGTGAAAGGTGTAAGGTCTCTGTCTTAGATTCATTTTTTTGCATACGGATGTCAATTGTTCCAGACCCATTTATTGAAAAGACTGTCCTTCTCTGTTGAATTACCTTTCTTCCTTTGTCAAAGATCAGTTGACTGTATTTGTGTGGGTCTATTTCTGGCTCTCTGTTATGTTCCACTGACCCATTATCCTATTGCCAATACTATACTGTCTTGATTACTGTAGCTTTGTAGTAAGTCTCGAAATTGTGTAGTGTGAGTCCTCTGACTCTGTTCTTCTTCAGTATTGTGTTGGCTCTTGTAGGTCATTACCTTTTTATATAAACCTTGAAATCAGTTTGTCAGTATCTACAAAGTAGCTTGCTGGGATTTTTATTGGGATTGCGTTAAATCTGTAGATCAAGGTGGGGTGAACTGGCATCTTAATAGTATTGAATCTTCCAATCCATGAACATGGAATATCTCTTTATTTAGATCTTCTTTGATTTCTTTAATCAGAATTTCGTAGTTTTCTGTATATAGATCCTATGCATATTTGTTAGATTTCTACCTAATAAAAATACCATTTGCTATTATCAGTGATATTTAAAAATTTTTTTCAAGTTCTAATTGTTCTTTGCTGGTATATAGGAAAGCAGTTGTCATATTAATGTTACGTCCTGCAACCTTGCCATACTTACTTATTAGTTTCATAAGTTTTTTCATTGTTGTTGATTCTTTGGGATTTTTCTGCAAAGACAACAAGCATGTCATCTGTGAACAAAGACACTTTTGTTTTTTCCTTCCTTATCTGTATACTGTTTGTTTCCTCTTCTTGCCTCATTGTACTAGCTAGGAGTTCCATATGATTTTGAGTTCTTGGCATTGTTCCTCATCTTAGCTGGAAAGTATCTAGTTTCTCACCATTAGGTATGATGTTATCTGTAGGTTTTTTGTAGATGTTCTTTATCAAGCTAAAGAAGTTCTTTTTTTTTATTTAAAGATTGGCACCTGAGCTAACAACTGTGGCCAATCTTTTTTTTTTCTTTTTTCCTCCTTTTTTCCCTCCCCAAATCCCCCCAGTACATTGTTGTATATTTTAGTTGTGGGTCCTTCTAGTTGTGGCATGTGGGATGCTGCCTCAACATGGCCTAATGAGTGGTGCCATGTCCGTGCCCAGAATCCGAACCCTGGGCCGCTGAAGCAGAGCGCGCGGACTTAACCATTCGGCCACAGGGCCGGCCCCAAGCTAAAGAAGTTCTTGATTCCAGTTTGCTGAAAGTGGGTTTCTTGTGAACAGCATCCAACTTGACTGTTTTTTTTAAATCTACTCTGAAATCTTGGTCTTTTAGTTCGTGTATTTAGATCATTCACATTTAAAGTGATTATTGGTACAGTTGGATTACTGTCTGCCATACTATTTTCTATTCATTTCGTTTGTTTTTCTTTTAACTTCTTTTTTAATACCTTTTGTAGTTTTAATTGAATATTTTGTGATTCTGTCTTCTCTCCTCTTAGGATACTTTACGTCTTTAAAAAAAATTTTGTAGTAGTTGCTCTAGAGTTTGCAATATATGTTTTAAACTAATCTAAGTCCACCTTCAAATAACACTGTACTGCTTCACATGAAGTGAAGTATCTTATAACAGTGTTTTCAAGCCCTCCCTCCCAGCCTTTATGACATTGCTCTCGTTCATTTCACTTCTGTGTGCTGTAATCACCCAATGCATTTTTACTATTATTGCTTTAAGCATTTATCTTTTAGATCAGTTAAGAGTAGGAAAAATAGAAGATTTTATTTATTTTCATTTATTTCTTCTCTACCATACCACTTGCTTTCTTTATGTAGATCTGAGTTCTGACATATATCATTTTTTCTTTCTCTCTGAAGAACTTCTTTTAACATTTATTCCTGGTTAGGTCTACTGGAAATGAATTCTGTCAGGTTTTTTTTTTTTTTTTTTGGTCTAAGAAAGTCTTTATTGCTCCTTTCCTTTTTTATTTTTAAATTAAATTTTTATCAAGATAATGATAGGTTACAATCTTGTGAAATTTCAGTTGTACCTTATTGTCTGTCAGTCGTGTTGTAGGTGCACCCCTTCACCCTTTGTGCCCACCCCCCACCCCATCTTTCCCCTGGTAGCCACTAATCTGTTCTCTTTGTCTACATGTTTAAATTCCTCATATGAGTAGAGTCATATAGAGATTGGCCTTCTGTCTCTGGCTTATTTTACTTAACATAATTCCCTCAAGGTCCGTCCATGCCGGTGTGAATGGGACGATTTTATTCTTTTTACGGCTGAGTAGTATTCCATTGTATGTATATACCATATCTTCTTTATCCAGTCATCAGTTGATGGGCACTTAAGTTGCTTCCACGTCCTGGCTGTTGTGAATAATGCTGCAATGAACATTTCTCCTTTACTTTTAAAGAATAATTTCAGTGGATATAGAATTCCTCAGGTGTTTTTTTCTTTGAACATTTTAAGTATTTCATTCTGCCTTCTTGCTTGTATGGTTTCTAACAAGAAAATCTGCTGTAATTCTTATCTTCTATAGGTAAGCTGTTTTTTCCTCTGATGTCTTTCAAGATTTTCCCTTTGTCCTTTGTTTCTCCATTTTAAATATGATGTGCCTCCATGTATGTTTTTTGGTATTTAACCTGCTTGATGTTCTCTGAGCTTCCTGTGTCTGGTTTGGTGTCTGTGATTAATTCTGGGAAATTCTCAGCCACTATGACTTCAAATAATTGTTCACTCTTTCTTCTCCTTTTGGTATTCCAATGGTGTATATCTTACATCTTTGCAAATTGTTCCGCAGTTCTTAGATGTTCTTTTTTCTTTTGTTCATTCTTTTTTTCTCTTTGTATTCAGTTGGGAGATTTCTATTGACCTATCTTCAAGCTCAGCTTGGCTGTGTCCAGTCTACTGATGAGGCTGCCAAATGCACTCTTCATTTGTGTTAGTGCATTTCTTATTTCTAGCATTTCTTTTTTATTAGGTTTTTTTTCCTTTTCTGTTTTTTTCCCCCAAATCCCCCCAGTAGATAATTGTATATCTTAGTTGTGGGTCCTTCTAGTTGTGGCATGTGGGATGTCACCTCAGCGTGGCCTGATGAGCGGTGCTATGTCTGTGCCCAGGATCCGAACCAGTGAAACCCTGGGCCGCCGAAGCGGAGCGTGCGAACTTAACCACTCGGCTATGGGGCTGGCCCTTTTACTAGTTTTTAGAGTTTCCATCTTTCTACTTATATTACCCATCTGTTCTTACATATTGTTTAACTTTTTCACTGGAAACCTAACCTATTAATCATAGTTATTTTAAACTCCCTGTCTGATAATTCTAAGATTTGTGCCATCTATGAGGCTCATTTTGATTCTAGCTTTGTCTCTTCAGACTATGGTTTTTTCTTGCCTTTCAACATTTTTTGTGATTTCTTTGTTGAAAGCCAGACATGAGGTATCAGGTAATAAGAACTGAAGAAAAGTACGTTAGTGTGAGTTTTGTGTTGTTCTGACTGGGCCATGGGCCATGTTTAATGTTTGCTGTGGCTGCAGGTGCCAGAGGTTTCAGATTCCTCAGGTGTCCTTATTTTGGTGCCCCCTTTGCCTTTCGGCTTCTTTAGGAACTCCTCCTCCTCAGATGGAGTCTGAGTCTGGCAGTTCTTTCAACTGTCCTCCGCTGTCATTCTTCCGGAGCCTGTTGATATGGTGGTAAAGTATGGGGGAGGGGAAGCGTCCTACAGTCTTATCAGTGAATCTCAGTCTTTGATGGGCCTTGTGTCTTTGGGCTGTTCCCTTTATAGTGTTTCTTAGTTCCCCCATCCCCACCCACTTAGGTGAGACAGGAAGGCTAGAGGGGGTTGGAGTCAGAGAAGTGCCCTTCCCCCAGCTGAGATAAGGCTCTGGGAAAGTCTTTTCCTCTGGAGAGCAGGCCTTTGTTATGGGCAATGCTCTGAGCCTATTGCACAAGCCAGGACTCCTCCCTTCCCCTGGGAGAGCCTTGAGGGGATCTTTCTTGGTTCTTCATAGTGAGAACCTA